CATGAAAGTGCCTGGCACATAATAGGCTCCCCCCAAATATTTGTGAATGAATAAATACATGAAAGAATGAAGCTACCCTGACATTTAAAGCCATGGTTTGGGTTTTGACAAAAATCACATTGTTCATCGTTTTTGCTTTCCTTCAGTTACAGCACATGCTATGGTTTGAATGTTTGTCCCTTCCAAAACTCATGTTCACACTTTATCCCCAGTGTGGCAGTATCCAGAGATGAAGCCTTTACAAGGTGATTGGGTCATGAGGCCTCTGCCCTCAAAAAATGATTAATTAATTAACTTACGGGTTAATGGGTTGATGGGTTATTATAGCAAGAGGAAGAGAGACCAGGGCTACAGGGCTGAGTCCCTCACCATGGGATGCCCTGCTCTTCTTTGGGACTCTGCAGAAAGTCTCCACCAGAAAGATGGTCCTCACCAGATTTGTCCCCTCAGCCTTGGACACCCTAGCCTCCAGAAATGTAAAAAATAAATTCCTTTTCTTTATAAATGAACCCATATCAAATATTTTGTTAGAAGCAACAGAAAACAGACTAAGGTGGTACGTCTTTCAAAATCATGAATGATTATTCCATTTGTTACGATCTGGGTTGTTTGAGATAAAACATTTCCCTGGAGTACAGAGAGATACCACATGTTCTTACTCGTATGTGGAAGCTAAAAAAGTTGATCTTGTAGAAGTAGAGAGTAGAATAGCGATTACTAGAGACTGGTGGGGGGAGGGGAAGGGGCACTGGAAGGGGGTGGTCAGTGGTGACAGAATTGTAGAGAAGTGGGACGAATGGGCTCTAGTGTTCTGTAGCAATATAGGGAGACTACAGTCAACAACAAAGTGCTGTGTATCTTTGAATAGCTAGTTGAGGTGATGCCGAATGTTCCCAAAGAGGTGACAAATGTTTGAGGAGATGAACATACTAAGTGCCCTGATATGATCATTGCACACAGTATGAATGTACCCAAATATAATATTGTACTCCATAAATATATACCATTGTCATGGGTCAATTAAGAAAAATAAATTTAAAAGACTAGATAAAGAAATAGTAGAATAGTGGGTACCAGAGGTGGGGAAAGGGAGGGAGGTTAGGGGGATGGAGAAATATTGGTAGACTGGTGCAAAGTTACAAAGTTATAGGTAGACAAGAAGAGTAAATTCTGGTGCTCTAGGGTCACTATAGGTAATAGGACTGTGTTATACAGTTCAAGATAGCCAGAAAAGAGGATTTTGAATGTTATAGCCACTTATGTGATAGACAGGCTACCTATTCTGATTAGATTATTATATAATGTATGCAGGTATGGAAACAACAACTGTACCCCACAAATGTATACAATGGAGAAAAAAATAAAAAACAAAAAAAACAAACATTGCCCCCGAGATTCTATATAAAACATTCTAGACAATTTTTTATACTAAGAAAATAAGTGGGATAACATGAAATATGTGCTACAAAAATTTATTTTTTCTCCTTGATAATTCATTATGTTAACAGTACTAAGAAGTGATGACTGTATTAGTTTTCTAGGGCTGCCATAATCAAGTACTACAAACTGAGTGGCTTAAAACAACAGAAATGTATTTTCTCACAATTCTGGAGTCTAGAAGTCCAACAGCAAGGGGTCAGCACTGCCATGCTCACTTTGAAACCTGTAGGGGAGAATCCTTCCTTGTCTTCACTGGCTTTTTGATGTTCCTTGGCTTGTAGCAGCATCGCTTTGATCTCTGCCTCTGTCATCACATGGCTTCTCCCCATGTGACTGTGCCTTCACATGGCACTTTCCTCTTCTTATAAGGACACTACTGGTAACGAATTGGGGTGCACCCTAACTACATCACCTTAAGTTGATTACCTCTGCTAAGACCCTATTTCAAAATAAAGTAAGATGCACAAGTACAGGGTGTTAAGATTTCAATATATCTTTTGTTAGGACACAATTCAGCCCTGAATTGTGACTTTCTGATTTGCGGGGAACTTCTTGATGGCAGAGCATGCTTTGCACATGGTGAAATCTTCTTGTTGCTCTGTTAGTTAGTGCTGCCAAAAGCAGCATCAGTGTTGCTCAGTGTTTGTGTGTCCCCAGCTAACCCCAAGATGAGCACTATACTGGCAATTTTTTCAGATGTCTTTCATCTCCACTCCCACCACCTTCTTTGACCTCACTGAGATGGACAACACCTTGACTCCTCTCTTTTCTCCTGGTCTAACCCTTGTCATCTGGTTTCACTTTCCTGTCCACTTTGGCACCGTGGTACATCATTTCTACTCTGTCAATGGAATCTTACCTTTATATTCTTGCTTTGATGCACTCTGCCTGCAAACCCTCCATCCTGGATATCTCCAATCACTTGACATCTCTCTTGTCAAGTGGGTTGTCAGCAAGTTTGGGGAAATCACATTACTTGCAGACTTATCCCAATGCAAAGTTACAATCTCTAATCTCAGATGCCCCTCAAAATACTTGAGGATCCCTGAATTTTTCTCTGGTCAACCTCTTCACTCGTTTTTTATAGCAGCCATTACAGATCTTCATTATCTTCTGAAGTTCACTATAAGACTCCCTCCCTTCTGTCCTGATTCCCTCCGTCTTCCTCCCTTCATTACTAAATACTTATTGGACAATTTAGCATGTGCCAGGGACTCGGCTATGAACTAGGGACAGAACAATGAATCGGACCAATTACGACTTTGTGTGTCTTGCCAGGGAAGTTTACTTAACACACTCATGTTCCTAAGCAACACAGAGAAGCGAATAGGTATTTGTAGAACAGAATGAAAACGCGTGGTGTACCGGAGTGCACGGGCCCATAGTAAGTTTCCCACAGGAAATATTTCAAAGCTGAGACATTAAGGACTGGCATGGGGCAGGGACATTCAAAGCAGAGGCAAAAATCGAGTGTAAAACGGTAGGGCTGAGAGAGCTTGACAGCTGTGGGGCATTAGACGTTTGGTCTGCAGAGCTGCAGCCCAGGCCAGGGGGGGCACGGGGAGGAGGAGCAGGCATGGGGGGAGGTGACGGTGGAGACTGAACAGGAGGCAGAGCCAGTGCCTCTGACCTCACAAGGACAGTCCACACCAGGAGGAGTGCCTGTCCTCAGTCCCTCTTCCCTGCCCCTGGGGAAGCACAGGGGCATGCAGAGACTTGGTGTATCTCCAGTTCTTCCAGCCTTTCTTCCTGTCTCCAGGAAAGGTCTGTTCTTCCTCACACCATTCACTATGTTGCTTAGCTTTAGATCCTGGATCCAGATCACTTTACTATGTACCAACTTGCCTCAATGGCCAATTCCCTGAATGAACAGTCTGCCTTGTTTTCTTATTTCTTTTAAGTAAGCATATGTTTTAAAGCAACTTGTGTTGGGAATCTTCTAAAGACTTCTGAAAGTTTTAGCAGATTTTCGTTTTGTTTTGTTTGTTGTCAAAACACTGCTGGACACTGGTTTGCATTTGTCTCAGTGGCCTGTTTTGGACAGATAAGGTAGGGACTCCACCTGCAGGACAGTCAGAGCGGGAGCTGCACCTGACACCCTACCCTGTAGGCCTCAGCTTGAGGGGTTGTGGAAGACTGAGCCTGAGGGACAGAGAAGGAGAGCCTATACAAATATTTTTTCTTAGAATATATCAATTGAAAATTTATACTCATGAAGACATATTCATATATAAGATAGTCTTGGTTATTTTCTTAAATCAATTCTTCAATGTAAATATTAAAAAAGTATAGCAAATAATATAAACATAAACATAAATAAAATAAATAATATAAACATACACACACTCACACACACACACTCAAACACAAACATATTCTTTTTTTTTTATGTATCTAAGTCTCACCTTTGTTTGCTCATTAGTCCCCTCCTGCTTCTGAGATCAGCATCTCAGACTGTCCTGTGTGCTGATTCTACTTTCTGTCTTTTATTCATCAGACATATCCTCACTCTGCCCCAGCTTCCACTAAGGCATCACCACAAAGCAACAGCAAAGATAAATTAAACACTCTTTAAAACTCTATCAAGGCAGAGTGAAAACTGAATAGTTTAAAAAGCAAACATGTTTAGGAAAATGGTGATTGGTGAAGTAGCCATTAATCCAAATTTAATTTAAAAAAACTACAGTTATTAAAGTGACATTATACTCTCTATCCCATCACTTTTGTGTCCCCATGATCCAAACTCTAGCTAAAATTTTACATTTGCTAATTTTTTCTCTTTATGAAAAACATAAAAACTTAGAGGTGGTAGTTTCCTTACTTTTTTTTGTTACCACTCTCTTAGGCTTATCTGTCTTCATAAGTCCTAAACAAATACTTGCTAAACAAATAAATAATATTGTGTAGATGAAGTCTCATATCTACATATGCTTTGAAAGGTTATCAGATTCCTTGTAGATTGGTCTTTGAACCTGGTTGTCTTAGAAGAATTCTCATGATGTGATGAAATTTTGAGACTGAACTAGAATGCTGTTGATGTATGTCAGTAACTCAGAACCCAGGAGTAGGAGGTCTTCAATTCATCATCAGTCATTGGAGATTTCTAAACCAGCCATTAATCTAAGTTTAGAGAGGACCAAAACAGTTATTCTGGAGCTTGGAACTAGAACAGTTGGGACACTAGAGTGGGTCGTCTTTCTCTTGGCAATGCGAATACTCTGGAAATTGCAATTGGGAGCAGATGACCATCAAATTTAGTACCAATGGTTCATAAACTAGAGAGAAGTGTGATATGGGAAGGGGACTTCTGAAAACCAGTAAATAAGCTCACCAAAGTATTCTCTTTGACTTAAGTCCTCCATTTCTATAAGACAACTATAATTATTGTATTCAAGTAAAATTAGAAAACTATATATCGATCTGTAAGAGTTTGAAAGGGCAGTGAGACATGTTTTACAGCTTTATAGCTTCAAAAGAATATCACTTGAACATTTGTCAGTCATTGCTTGTGAAACTGAGATTACTTACATTATGTACATACACTAATATGTATTTTGCAGGTTTAGAGCAGTTTGTTGGAAGAATGCAAGATTTTCGATTATACCAAGAGGCACTTACAAACAGGTAAGCAGCTGTGGTATTGTAAAACCTCAAAAAGTGTAAGGATAAATGCCGACTTCACTTAAATAACAGTACAATGAAGATTACAGCATTTTTCATCTTCACAGCATTTGGCAAACATCACCTAATTAATGTTTACAATGTTTGCTTTGGTTTAGTCTCTGGTTGTTATTCACTAGTACTACTCTGTTGGGTAACTCCTTATAATATACAGTTGATCAAATTCTTTACCAAGGATTTTCTCTAAGAAAATTCAATTTGTGAATGTTTTATAGAATTTGGAATATATTTATTTAAATGTTCTACGTGAAGTAGTTTCTAATACTTAAGAAAGTGCTATATCTACCTTTTAACATTGTTTTGTTGAATTTATAACCAGAGAATGTAAAATAAAGAAAATGATTAATTATTTTGATATATGGGAAAGTCTCAAGAGACTGGGCTATTAGACTTGGAGGCAAAAAGAATGAGTATTTGAAGTATTGTTATATATTTTCCTATTTCCAGTGAACAAATAATTATTCAGAATTGGGCTAGCTTTAATGAAGTATTTCCTCATTTTGAGAGTAGGAGGGAAATCTTCCTAAAAGCAAACAGATTTCCTTTTTGTTAGGAAAAGCTCAAGTGAAATTTTGTTTAAGATAGCTTCTGAAATTTCTCTCCCAACTTATGATCTGATAATATAATACTATTTTGTTGTATGAATGAGTTGGTCTTATTTCTATTGATGATAAAAAATAGAATGTTTACTTATATTTCTTCAGGGGAGATTAGTGTTGTACATTTTCAGATGACAGGACCAGCTCTTGTAAATTTGAGAAGCATTGCTCTTAAGGTGGTGTGTGGGCACAGGCAGATCCATTATCAATATAAACATTCTTTTTTTAGTCTATATAATCAGGACATGCCTGAATAAAGGGTGCTGTAATACTGGAACACATTGCTGGGGAGATTTGCTTCCACTGGCCTGATCTTCTAGATCACTTTTGAGTAGAATGCTGAAGAGCAAGGTTACCATCATTTTTTAGGAGTGAAGTTTTTCCTTGGAGGCAAGGATTTCATACTGGACAGTGACTTTGGTCCCATTCAAAACCTGGTATCAATTGAAAAATATCAATGAGATGTAAAAAAGACGGTGTCACTTTATGTGATTTCATGAATGGAAAAGCTGCCTGATTCTCCATTGCTCCACAGGGTCTGAGAGAAGCCTGGTTCCTCTAGTTAGATCTTGGTTACTGGTGTTGGCCTGCCCGAAATGTCTGGAAAGGTCTTATGTGGAAGAATGCCTATAAATAGAATGAGTAATTCTAATCTAGAAGAGTTATATTGCCCTTAATGGAAAAATTAAATATATCTGCCTGGAATTGGCATTCTTCTTTTGCTGTTGGCAGCTTCCATCTGATCCGAAGCCACTGAAGCATTTTAGGATGCCAGAATCTGTACTGTGAGTCACAGGAAACCATTGACAAATGGTCTTGGCCTCAGTCCCTTTACCTAAAACAGAAGCAGATAAAATGACACTTGTTTTCTTACTTCCTTCCCAGGGGTGAACTGGTGACCCTATCTGTAACTCTCATTATTTTTTTATATATTATTGTTCACTCTCAGTTTAACAACCTAAGTAAATGTTACTTTTCTATCTCATCACCAATAGATACAGTACAATATTGTGATACATAAATATCTTTATACAAGGGTTTATGCATACTTCTTATGTAAAAAGTTAACAGTTAAAATTTTACTGTTTCTGATCTACATTTTATGAGAATGAGTATGTTTACTTGACCAGGAATTAATTTTATTTTAAGTTCCATTTAGAAAATTATAAAAGTGAAATGGATACTCATCAAAACACTAAAAGAGTGACATTTATTTGTAACAACTCTTCAGAGTTCTATTACTGTGAAGCTGTTTGTCCTTACAGTCTGCCTCTTGACTCCCACAGGGAAATTCTGGAAGTTTTTTCTGGAGATCTGCTCAGATTGCATATCCAGTCCCATTGCCGCTGCCCAGGCAGCCACCCCCGGGTCCATCCTTTGGTACAGCGATACTGCATTCCTAATGATGCAGAAGACACAACCAGCAATAGAGTGCTACGGCTGAATCCTGAAGCCCATCCTCTCTCTTTTGTCAATGATAACGATATTGGTACTTCATGGGTTTCAAATGTGTTTACAAACATTACCCAGCTTAATCAAGGAGTGACAATTTCAGTAGATTTGGAAAATGGACAGTATCAGGTAATTAGAAACAATAGGGTGTGTCTTAGTTCCCTATGGCTGCTGCAACAAGTCACCTTAAACTTCATGTCTTAAAACAACAGAAGTTTATTCTCTCACAGTTCTGAAGACCAGAAAATAAAAAATCAAGGTGTTGGCAGGGCTAACTAACTCTGAAGGATCTAGAAGAGGATCCTTCCTTGCCTTTTCAGCTTCTGGTGGCTCCGGATATTATTGGCTTGTGGCAGAATAGCTCCAATCTCTTTCCTTGTCTTCACATGGCCTCCTGCCTTGTTTCTCTGTGTGTGCTGATTCCCCCTCTTCTTCCTCTTAGAAGGCCCACCCTAAATCCAAGATGATCTCATCTTGAGATCGTTAAGTTAATTATATCAGCAAAGGCCCTATTTCCCAATAAGCCACATTCACAGGTATCCGGAGTTAGTACTTGGATATTTGGGGACACATTTCAACCCACTACATGCTGTAAACTGAACTAGGCAATTAGTGTATTTTAATGTGTGAAATAAAGGTATCTAAAAGATAATACGTGGGGCCTAATTTTTTGGAGATTTGTATCAAAATATTATGAAATGTTGAAACTTTTTTTAATCATTAAGCAGCACAAATTAATAGAAACTGAGGTGCTTTTTAAAAATAACTACTAAGAACATATGTGACATTTATTTCATGAAAGTAATGCTGTTTGTGAATGTCTTTGTATCAAACAATATTAATTTTCACTTTGATTTATAAAATCCTGGAGAAGAGGAACTGATACATAGTTACAGAATATGTTGCTTTTCCTATGGGTTTATGAAATTTCTAAATGTCCAATGAATTTTTGAAAATTATACTTATGAGGAAGTGAGCTGTTATATTTGAATTTAGCAATTCCATAGTTTGGTTATTCTGATGGGTCAAAGTTAAAACTTAAATTACAGTAATTAACTTATTCATTTTCAGGTGTTTTATATTATCATTCAGTTCTTTAGTCCACAACCAACCACAATAAGGATTCAGAGGAAGAAGGAAGACAGTTTGGATTGGGAGGACTGGCAATATTTTGCTAGAAATTGCAGTGCTTTGGGAATGAAAAATAACGGAGATTTGGAAAATCCTGATTCTGTCAACTGTCTTCAGCTTTCCAAGTATGAATATTTTAAAAATAATTTTAATAGGCTGACGAGTTAGTAACAACCTACAGGTAAGATAACTCAATAGGCTAATGGAGACGTCCTCCCACCACCAACTTTCTTGAGGCGGATTCTCCTAAGTCTTCTCCCTAAACTGAGTTTTAAACGATGTTTAAAGTTCCCATAAAAAACTTAGGTTATCGGTTACTTATAATCTCACTGGTGCTTTGCAGTCTTATTTTCGGATTGTTTAGCAAGTTTTCTGTATCAATAGAATTTTCACTATGTTCTCAAGGAAATGTTTTAGCATGGCTTTCTGTGATGATCCTGTATTGTTTGCATGTGAATTACATGGGATATGTTTGTTTTCCCAGAACAAAGAATTTAAGCTTTCACTGATACTGTGTAGTAATGTCTCAAAGTTGTGATGTATGTTTTGTTAAAATTATTAGTACATTTTCATGATATCGAATTTCTTTCATCAACAGTTTTACTCCATATTCCCACGGTAATGTCACGTTTAGCATCCTGACACCTGGATCAAATTATCGTCCTGGATACAATGACTTTTATAATACCCCATCTCTTCAAGATTTTGTAAAAGCCACACAAATCAGGTTTCATTTCTATGGGCAGTACTATACAACTGAGACTGCTGTCAACCTCAGACACAGATATTACGCGGTGGATGAAATCACCATCAGTGGGAGGTACTGTTCATTACCAAGGTTTCGAGTGGAGTGTTATTTTTCACTACGTATTTTTTCAACAAGGTTTTTATCATACTTATTTAAAAATATATTACCTAAGAATTTAGAGCAAGCTAGATTCCAAGCTTCACATTTTGAAATGATATTCTACTCTTAAGATTTTTGGGGGGGATTTCTATGTGAGCCTTTCTGTATATAATATAGCATCGATATGGAATCAATTTTCAAAAGCTATTGAGTTTAGAAGTTATGATACTCTGAATCTGACTTAGAAATAATTTATCAAATATTTTACTTGTTTTTTTCTGGAATATAATTTTCAAATGTTCTTGAAAGCAAAGCAAAGAAGCTAGGTTTGGAGTTGCAACTATAGTACTAGATAGTTGGTAAGTTTGGTGCTTCACAGTTTACAGTTCTATGGAGAACACTTGTTTTCCTTTAGAGGAAAGTTCTGATGTGTTCTAAGTAACATAAATATTTGATCAGGGGCTGCCCCATGGCGCACTCGGGAGAGTGCAGCACTGGGAGTGCAGCGACGCTCCCGCCGTGGGTTCGGATCCTATATAGGACTTTCCGATTCACTCACTGGCTGAGCACGGTGCGGGCGACACCACACTGAGGATTGCGATCCCCTTACCGGTCACACACACACACACACACACACACACAATATATATATATATATAAATATATATATATATATATATATATATATATATTTGATCATAATTGAGAAAGTGACTCACAGTATTTGAAAAAAAATGGACAGCTGCAATACTAGGCAGCATATATTCTAATATGGAAATGTGCATATAGAGTATATCTAGAATGGATTTTTCTAGAAGAATGATATGCCTTGGGATACAGTACATCTCTATAAACAGACCAGAATACCAATATATAAGCAATATTTGTTCAAGTAATAGCATAAATAAAAAAGTAATACTACTAAATATTCTACCATCTAATTTTGGGAAAAAAACAACAAAAAATGGAAATTTATTAACTTCATCCCGGAGTTCATTCTGAACTTTATATTCTTAACTGTAATTTAAGTACTTTCAGTAATGTCTTCTCTTGCTAAATGATTGGTATAGGTATAAAAAATTCTATCCCCCTTTCCAGAGTGACTTAAAAATTACCTTCTCAATACCTTGGATATAGATGACAGTCCTTCCAATACTTCAGGATTAATTAAAAATTTTTGTGAATAGCCACAGGATTAAAGAGAAACTGGCTTCTGTGTTAATTAAATATACCTGCCTTACTTGTTGGATTTATACTGTATATATTCCTAGGGCCTTAAATATATTCAAAGTTGAGTTGGTGATTCTTAGGAGCTGTGTGATGCTCATGTTCACAGATGTCAGTGCCATGGTCATGCCGATAACTGCGATACGACAAGCCAGCCATATAGATGTCTCTGCTCTCAGGAAAGCTTCACTGAAGGACTTCATGTGAGTTCTATTTCATTCACGGAATCTACAAAAACAGGGATGGTGACTAAATTCTGTGAAGTTAATTTTGGTCTAACTTCTGGGTCTAAATAAAAATAAATTGATATGAACCTAAAATATCAATTATTCCAGAGAAAGTATTTGTAGAGAAAAATAAAAGCTATTGATAAAGTTGAAAACTGCATTTAAAAAAAAATAATCTCAATCAGAAAAATTACCACTGAAACTAAACCCTAAAGTTTTAGTTTCCTTTCCTTTCCTTTTTTTTTTTTTTTTTTGGATTCATTCAGCACTATCATACGTTATAAAACAATTTTTAGAGTGTCTGAATAGCCTGGCACTAAACCAAAACGTGGTTTGATTTCTACATCTAAAGGGTATTTATACAAAGATGTCTGTACAGGAATACAGTCTTTAGATGCAGGGCGATCTTTATGTATCGATCTTATATATGTCAATCAAGATTAATTTATTCCTAATATCAGAATTTTAAGTAATTAATTTATGAATCTGAAGTAAAATGACTGAAGAGTTATATTCCTTTAGCTTGTCTCTGATAGTCAGGGAGAGTTTCATAGCTGAAGTGGAAATTTAGATGCATCTTTAGGAATAAGATGTCAATGGAAACAAATTGAGGGATATTTGTAATATTTGTTCGTAGAATTGTCCAGCATCAATGTCAGCAATAGCTGATATGAAAGAGGGTATGGCAGCAGTAACAATTGTACCAATGAAGAAAGTAGATAGTATGGAGTCTTCAGAAATGATGTTTTAGGCAATTGGCTGTCAATTTGTCAGATAATAAAGTTAGAGACCTACCTCATAGCATGGACAGAAATTGTAGCTTAAATATTTAAATGTAAAAATAAAAATATGTAATCTATTAAAATAAATATCAGAAGGATATTTTGAAATCTAAAGTTGAGGGCCTTTGTAAGCTAATTGAGTGAAATACAAACAGAAACAAACATATCTGGAGCCATGAAGGAAATTAATAACATATTCTGTCATATACATATTTAAAATTCTGTACAGTGTTAAGGACTAACATCACCACAATGTAGTGACAAGTGATGGATTGATAGAAAATATTTACATCATATTAACAGGTAAAGAGGTAAGATCACTAATATACAAAGAGCACTTACAAAATAATAAGAAAAATATAACAATCTAATAACAAAAGAGCAAATACGTGAACAAGCATTTGCAAAGGAAGAAATGGTAATATTAAATAAACACATGAGAGGTTACCCAACCTTAGTTTTAATAGATTCAAATATTGTTTTTATCTCTCAAATTAGCAAAACGTTTAAAGACTGATAACATTTAGGACCTGTGAGAATATAACCTATATAATCATTGATGGGACTGCCAATTGGTGCAGTGAACTACATTATATCATTGCTGTCATTCTAAAAAGCAATTCTCCAATGACAAGTGTCTGAAATGGTTATGTTTAATCTTCTTGTTACATAAGTGTGGACCTCTATGTCTATGTATCCCAGCTTTTAAGATGGTAGCACTGTCTCATAGACCCACGTGGGACTTGTGAGCTTCTCCGCCTCCTAGACCTGGCCCCATACTTGTGTTTTAGTCTTCTCTCACTTCTGCGTAGTTTGTTTTAGGATATTATGCAACATCTTGTTTTTTTAGAAAACCCTACATCAAGGTTTTAGGGAACTCCATTTCAGTCTTCTGAGATTTTTAATTGGATCTAAATTGCTTTTGACTGTAATGTTAGTGTGTATTGTTCAATGGCAAGGGTATTCTCTAAAACACAGACTTCCTCTAGCACATTTATGATGTGGTCCTGCTCCTCACTTTCAACTCAGAGGTTTTGATTGGTCATGGCCTCCTTTCTTTCTATCTGGTCAAACCAAAATTTTCATGTTCTGATTTAGATATCCTTTTGAACTTATTTTCCAGATCATTGCTTAATATTGCTGGTCTCTTTATTTATACATTTAGTCTTCACCACTGGTTGATAATCGTTTTTTAAAAAGGAATCTTTTACAATTTTTTCTTTTTCTTTTTTTTTAATTTCTAATGTTTGTAGTCTTTGAATTTGGTTTGATGAGTATATCATGAGAAAAAATCTTTTAAAAAAGACTGATTTCAATATATTTGATTACATGACATTTTGTCACAGAAAGGAAATTAATTGGATTAATTTGATTGATTCACTCTTTACTGAGCCATAATTATATTTAAATTTTGACAATTTGATTTTTTCTAGATTTAAAAGTTGAAGTGACTTTGATTCTATTTTTCCTAGTGTTTTCTTTTGATTTCTTAAGATGGACACTTCTTCCCTTTCCTTATAATCAGTGATTTCTTTCATTAATTAATCTTGCCATTCCTCCCCCAAACCACTAACAACCTAATTTAAAATGCTCTGGGATGAATTTAGTAGGGCACTTTGAACTAGATGTATCTAGTATATGCAAGCTAATGTCTGGCTAATACTTTTCCTATGACATTTTTTTCTGAGCTTCTTTTGCTTTCGGTCGAACTAGTCAAGTCTGTCTCTGTCTCTGTCTCTAACTCTCTTTATTTCCCTCTCACTTCCTTTTGATGTCCTGTCCCGTTTTTTTTTTTTTTTTCTCCTTAATTTCACACAGTTAAGTGTTTGATATTTTCTGATTCTTAGAAGATTTCATGCTTCCCCTTAAAAATAGAGCCATTAAATGAATCAAAGCTCATGATTGGTTTCAGAAGTCAAGTTGTGATTTTCAGACTTGGTCTCAGATGGTGACTGTTAGATTATGAACTAGTGAAATAATTAACTGTATTTAGGTTGAAAAAACATTTTCATACTTCTTATTTAGACATTAAGTACCTTTTGAAAACAAGAAGTGAAAAAGCAAACTTTTGTGTTATTTTCCTCCTTGATATATTTTAATAATTCATGAATTTAGCCGTAAATAAAAAGGCAACAAATATAATTTATTTAGCAAGGTTTGGCAAATGCAGCCAAAGGGAAAAAGTCAATAGACTGTTAAGTTGAATGATTTCTCAGTCCTGTGATATTTTCAACAGTGTGTTGAAAATGAAAAATGATTTTATAAACACCTTCATAACCATGGCATTCTCCTTTTGTTATCATTCAAAGTATTTTAATACATATGGGGATGTATGTGTCAGAAAAGTTGTCTTATAGTAATTCAAAACTATACTTATTCAAATGCTTTATATTGTTTCACTTTTTAAAATAATATGCTTTAAAATAAGCCATTCATTTTCTATTGGAACCTATGTTCTTTTTAAAGATCTGGACATAATCCAAAAAGAATGTCTTCAATCCCACAGTATTATGCTAACCATTAATAATATTACTCAATAAACAGGGCTTTTGTGAATTATGTTACAGCTATTTGGCAAACAGATGAAAACGTAAGCCTTGAGAATATGCCAGTTCTTGGCAATTGTCTTTCCTATAAGAAAGTGGTTTTGGCGGAAGTGAAATGAATGAAGTCAAGAGAAAGGGGTAGACTGGTGAATCAGGAGGAGGTTGATATACACAGCCATTCCAGAGAATTCTCTGTATGAAGCATTCCTCCATTGTTTATAAAGTTTACATCACAAATTGGTGGCCCACAGGTGGGAACAAGGTTTAAACACTTCCTCATTTAATTTCTAACAAGAGTCTTCACTTTTAAAAAAAATTTTCTATCTTCTCTTGATCAGAAGATGGCCTAACACTGTGTCCATTTCCTCCCATGGCAATGGCAGGCTGCCTCGGGGTAGCAGTTCCCTTATTCAGAGCAATGTCACTCCTTGGTTTGCTACCACATTCACTGCTGTCTATAGTCCTATATCTGTGTGACTTCACTCATGTCGACTACACAGACTTCAAAGGGTTTGAGCTTGTGAATCTTATAAAGCAAACTTTACTCATATGTTGAGACACTAGTAGCTAGAATACATGATTAATTATTCTTGGTGTGCCAAGATTTGCTGGAGCTCCACCCATAGCCAGCTCTTATTTCTTTTATCCCTTCATAAGAATAAAAACTAACAAATAACCAGAAGCAACTCAAGAAAATCTATTACCAAAGACCCCGCTAACCCTGAGATGAACATTAAACTATTCCTTTAAAAGCTACTTACTTTTTTCTTAATTATTTTGTTACATTTTGTGATACCTAAATATCTACCTTGGGGAGGCTCAGTGACTCTCCTCAGTGCTGTTGGACTGGAAATTATGGTACATATTGTTATTTTATTGGTAATTTTAAGGGCTTGACTATAATGTATGATACAGATGACACATTTCACTAATAGGGAATACTCAGAGTATTTGTTACAGTTACATATCTTCTTAAGAATAACTGAAGCAGTGAATGATTGATTTACTTGGCCCATTTTAGAATTGATCTAGAGCAAAACAAATCCAAAACACTAGATACTATTCATTAACTTTCGAGCAGAGAAAAACATTTCAAAGTAGAATTCAGGATTACGTGGCATTGAATTTTCAAATTAGTTATCTTACAAATTAGAAAACGTGTTTTTTAAATTATTAACAATTTTATTTGGATAACAAATAATCACTGTCACTTGTACAAGTTTGTTTATTTTAAGAAAACTTTATTTTGAGATAATTATAGATTCATACACAGTTATAAGAAATAATACAAAGAGATTTTGCATAGCTTTACCTAATTTGGACCATGGTACATCATGCAAAACTAGTGTTTTTCATTTTAAATAGACTTTCCTGAAGTATGATTTGCATACAATAAAATGTACCCATTTAAAAATGTATAGTTTAATGAGTTTAGGCAAATGTATAGCTTTGTAAACACCATCCCAGTCAAGATATAAAATGTTTCCCTCTCCCCAAATATTCTCTTGTGCCCCTATACAGTCAGTGCTTCCTCCCAACCCCCAATCCCAGGAAACCATGGAACTACTTTCTGTCACTACAGA